TATATATATATATACTGTCATGAACAACAACAAAAATCAGCATGAAAAAGTGCAGTGTGTTCACATCTTGAACAGAAGGCAAAGGCAGCAGATGAAAAAAACCCACAGGGTACAAAGCACAAGTATGTACATAATACTGCTAGTCAAATAGAAATATAATTTCTTCAAATACTAAACTGTACACGGCTTTACATAGACTGTATAAGAGCACGATGTATAAAGTTTGAGTGGGAGAAAATGTTCAAAAAATAGACGCAAGATCATTAAAACATTTACACATATACACACACACAATAAAAATCAAATTACAACATTCAAATCCTTTTCAACTAACAAACAAACAAAAAACAGCAATGAGAAAGATCTTCAGATTGTCAAGGAAAGGAGAGTTATACGAGTGGACTTTATTTATGAACGCAAGATGCTTTCTGTTTCTATCTCAACAATGGCTTGGGATGCGCGGCAGCTCAAAAGAAATGTGTCCTGCATTAGACAGAATTGTTTGTTTCTTGTGGCCTGAAAAGAATAAGAGGAAGTTGTTTCCAACAACATTTTCATTATTGTGCATCCATTTGATATTAAAACAAAATTCTTACTCCGATAAGAAGTTGAAATATATATTTTTAAAAAGAAACATTCCTGTGGTAAACGGTGTACATTTCTCACAGACTGACACAAGATAAATGTCATTCAAATACACTGGCAAATGTTTTTCTTATCATCTCTTATTATGACTACCTTCAAAAGCATTGTAAAGATGTAGATTCTGCCAAGTATTAGCTAAAATGACTGTGTCTTAAAGCATTGATTCACACATCTCACAGTCAAATTTCTTTGTCGCATGAGGTTAACAACTTACAGTCCAACTTGCTCTTGCTGTCACCTGTCCAAGACAATCACCTTTATAAACAAACACTTCCCACTCCGATCCCCCCTTGCGTTTTTTAAATATTGTAATGACACTGTCCAAGATATCCACCTGCCTAAGACAACCACTTTTCTCTTTAATAATGGTTGACTGTCTTGGATAAGTTCGACTGTATTTAGTATAAGAAATAGCTCGCAACATATTATACAGAAAGTGTATTTTCAGTAAAGTATCTAAGTGAGAGGCAAAAAATATGTATAGAACAAAACAGACTCTCACTGACGGAGATTGTGATATTTTCTAATTATTAGTACATCAGCCCCCAGTCCTTCTTCCTCAGCACTCTAAAGATACAACTGAGAGTTTGACTTAGAAATGGCTTAACTGTTGTGTAGAAGATACCTCAACTCACAGACAAAAATGCATTTATTGTCCTTCCTTCTTAACTACACAAGTTCAGATCACATAAAATACAAAATGTAGGACTATATAATGCACGCTGTGGGTAAACCCAGAAAATAGCAGTTCTTTTACTATAACAAAGATATGTTATAACACTTTCTTAAGCTCAAAGCATAAAAAAAAACTTTTTCAGTTCAGCATGGAAAAGTCAACAGACAATAAAGAAAAAGTCTTGGTAAAAAAAAAAAAATTCATGCTATCACAACAGGCAAAAATTCCCACTAAAAACCAACAAAAAACACAGAAAAAATAACAGCGAAAACAAAAAACAATGCTTAAGAAAAAAGAAACTACTGACTTCATTCTTACAAGATTCTGTTTTAAATCTTGGCACTGGTATGAGGTAGCTCTTGTACAATATCTTCATTAAACAGATCTTCACTTGGTATCAAACTTTTCTATTGCTCACAAGATACCAGAGACATGTTGATAGTAAAATGTTCTTTGGGCTTAATGGACAGGCCTGGAACTCAAAGACACTGTCAAAAAAGCTGAAGAGTGGAGGAAGCTAGCGGCCATATCTTCAAGAGCGCCCCGACGGACATCCAGTCTACAGGATAGGTGAAGGTGAAGTGAAGGCTTACAGAAAAATGCAACAGGAATTTCGGAAAATTTTCAGATATCAATCCAGTAGTTCTATAAAAGAAAAAAAGTCATTGGTCCAGTTTAGATGGGAATGAAAAGCTTGAAATACTTCTCTGAGTGGCACATACGGATGAGGTGGGAATACCATTATTCTTCCTTAGAGAAAAGGTACGAAAATGGAGGAAGAAATAATATAAATGTCCGTGTGTAGCCACACAATGAAAAATAACGAACTCCCATGAACCACAATCTAATCATGAACAGTATTCAGAAGAAGGACATAAGAATGTCCAACAAAGATGCAATGCCTAACAAGATGATAATAATATTTTGAGAAACAAACATGAACATTACTTTAAAGAATGTAATAAAAACCACAAACAAGCAAACAGACAAAAAAGTAAACAAAACAGTTTATCCATGAATGACTTGAGCATTCATGCCAAAGAACGTGTGTTTCTTGCCCGTGTTGATATTCATTCTGATCTCTGGGTTTGTTTCAGGGTACATTGCTTGGAATCTCCGACGGACCTGCAAAAAAAAAAATAATAGTTACATGGATGTAACGTTTTGTTGTCGTGAATGTAGGTGGTGCATCCCCTTTGACACAATTTAGATCATTTAGGAGGCAGGCTTTTGATCCTGCCTGTTAGAGTCAACCCGGGCTGAGAGGGATACAAAATCCTAGCAGAAAGACCAAGATACTTGATAAAAGCTTCTTCCCACTCTGGAATTGAACTCGGGTCTCCTGTGTGCAGCAACGAAGGATCATATCCTTACACCAGAGATACCTGTCATGGCTATGAATGTTTTTACAGAGAGTGAAAGTTTGGTGACCTCCAAAGCTGTAATGTCCTTAGCAACTGCAAATTTATACTTTTTGTATCTTTGATCAAGGATTTTCCAGTAAAGTCCACTCAGGAATGTGTTTTTAAACCACCGTCCCCCCTCCCCCCCCCCCCAAAAAAAAAAAAAATTTTTATAGCAAAACGGAAAACAATAAATTGATAAAAACTAGTCACTGCATGGGAAAATGTCAGTTTCTTCGATTTCAATATTTTGACGAGCGCCTGATTTCATCACGATGCTGCACATTTGTTTATAAACACAAAGGAGTGTGTTGTGCAAGCTCTCCGGCCGGTGACAGAGAGACATCTCTCTTGCTGCGACACCTAAAAGGGTATAAGGGGTGGGTAAATGTAAGTAAGTGTGTTATGCTACCCACCTCTGACTTGATGAAGCCATCTTGCATGTCCAGCAGACAGGACTGAGGTCTGGGACCTCCCATGCCAGGCTCCCAAATAAACCTGCGGTCTTTCTTCTCACTCAGGTCGTAGATGGGGAACTGGCTGGAGTAGCTAGAACGCATGTTGTAGTCACACTTCAGACCTGGGTGGGGGAGGGACAGACAGACATAAACTTGGTGAACACAAAAAGTGTAGCTTGAAGTAAAAACCCCACAAACAAACAAGTAAATGAATAAACAAACTCACTAAAAGACATCTTACAATTTTGTCTGTCTGTCTGTTCATCTTTTTCTTTGTTTGTCTTTCTCCCTCACAAAAAACAATCTCACAAATTGGTATAAAGTCTGTGTGCTTGTCTGTCCTTCTATCCATCTGTCCATCTGTTTATCTACTGTCTGTCTGTCCATCCATCTATCTGTCTGTCTGTCTGTCTGTCTGTTTGCCTTCTGTCTCTCTGTTTTTCTATCCCCCACAAACAAAGAAACAAAAAAATAAACACACAAACAAACACACAAGCAAACAAACTCACCGACAGGCATAAAGTTGGTGGACAGACTCCTGAACTCATCAGCAGTCTCCGACTGAGGCGGAGGTCGGAGCTGGGGATTGCGACTAAAGCAGACCTCCGCAGACTTGAGAGGAGGCTCTGTGTTCCTGGCGACCACCGTGGGCACAGCGGGGTTTCTGAAGGTGTTCTCCGCCATATTGCGAGTGTCGCCCACCAGCATGAAGGATGAACTTCCAGAGGCCTCTCGCTCCGGGTGTGTGCGAAGGAAGGTCAGGGACTGGACCTGAGGGAATGGAAAAGTTGGTGCCGGTTTAGTTGCCCGTCTACCATGATACAACGGTCTACCTTAAGTCTCACCTAAGGCATCCAGAAATAGTTCAGGTATCCTCGGTCCCACCCAATCAACCATGGCCTATCACGATATGGCGCTTTACTCTGAGTTCTGCCTGACTGCAATGGTTTAACAGGACACAACAGTCTACCATACACCCCACCCTATCAACCGCGGTCTACCAGGATACAAGTCTACCATACATCCTACCCAATCGACCATGGTCTACCACGATAAGGCTGTTAAGTAAGTCCCATTCGATCAACCACCGTATACTGCAATCATCAGGCAGTCAAGTGTAGTGTTAGTCCCACCAGATCAGGTCTGTCCTTTTCGGACCAGTATATATTATACATCATCCCTTTAAGACAAGTTGAAAAAGTAAATTAATAATTTTGTTAGTTCTTTGTACATCTAATTACTGTCCAAAAAGGTACCAACTAGGCTATTTATACATCTAGCTACCATTAAAAAATGTACCCATTGAGCTATTTGTACATCTAACAACAGATCTATCCTTATATATGGTACTAACTGAGCTATTAAAACATCTGACCAGCTGAACTATTTGTGCACCTAACAATCATCCCCAAAAAGATACCAATTAAACAATTCATACATACATCTATAACGGAGGCCAGCCAGAGGAAGGAAGGAAGGAAGGAACAGGATGGAAAAGTAAAATAAAGTAAGTAATAAGCAAGGAGCCAACTGAGCAACCATTTAACTTATTATCACGGTCTAGGCTTACATTATTCTGTCCAAAAGCCTCCCTCAGCTGCTCCTGTTCCTCACAGCTGAGTGGCTGAGTGTGTGACTGTCCGACCTGCACTGGGAAGTTCTCATGGAAATTTTGGACATGGACGCTGTTGGAGAAGTGGACAGACTTGAGTTTTCCTGGTTTGGGCATGCTGTCTCTTGGGGCCACTCGGTCTCGCGTCCTGTGTGGGGGCAAATAATGTGGTTGGTTTTTATTTTTTTTAAATTGTGGGGGAAAGGGGAGGGGGGGGGAGGAGGAGGAGGGAGGGGTTCTAGGGTCCTGCGAGGAAATACAGACACACACACACATACATACATACTCTCTCTGTCTCTCAAACACACACACACACACATACACACAAACGTACACATATACATTACACTTACATTACACACACTCACACACATCACACACACATACACCCACACACACAAACACACAGAAATATTACACACGTACATGTCAACATTACACACATATGTAGACATGCACACTCACCCCCTCCCCTCCCCACACACACACACACACACACACACTTACCTCTCCAGGTTTTGGTTTTCATGAGAGATGAGATCTGATGGTTCTATCCTGATGTTCCTGTCCAGTTTATTTTCCTGCAGGAATTTCTTGGTGTTGTAACAATCGCCATAGGTGTCTTCCCGCAACACAAACTCTTTTTCCTAACAGAAAAGATTTTTTAAATTTTTACTTTGGTTTAAGTAAGAATTGTATGGCACTTGCAACACTAATAGGTCATGTAAGTAGCGAAAATTAGAGGTGTAACTAGAGAGTAAGATACAAAGTGATAAGCACGATATACATTTGATTAAGAAAAAGGGAGCAAACCACACCAGAGCACCCGCCTACAACCCACAGAAAAGATTTACAACTCGGATAAAACAATGCTGTACAAGGAGATATAACCAGTAATTTTTCATGCTGTGATACAATTATCTCTTATGGGGATAAAAATAATTTTTTATCGTGCAGAAATTCAATAATTTTCCCTGTGGAAATACAACAATTTTCCTTCTGCGAAGATACAATCGTTTTTCTTGAGGGATGTGTGTCATGGCACCGTGGAATTCAGGCGCCCGTCGATTTTAGGGCATGTGGAGTTATTGGTGTCAACTTAAAGCCTGTTCATTTGTCTTGCTTTCCATGAAATATCCATCTATCTTTAATAGAATTCGAGATATTTGCAAGTGAAGGAAGTGGGGTTAGCTGATTTCAGAGGTGAAATAAGCAAGAAAATGGCCGCTAAAGCTCGATATCTTTCAATGCATGAGAGTCATAGGAAACTGAAAATGTACTTTTCTTTTTTCCTTTTATCAACGTTTTTCCAGTAAAACACCCACAGAAATGTGTTTTTAAATATATACATAAAAACTGTTGAGCTCCCC